CTCAGTAGACATCACCTCTATTTTCCTACACACAGTAGGTGCTCAGTAGACACCACCGTTATTTTCCTACACGCAGCAGGTGCTCAGTAGAATCACCTCTATTTCCCCCGCACAGGAGGCGCTCAGTAGACACCACCTCTATTTTCCTACACGCAGTAGGCCCTCAGTAGACATCACCTCTATTTTCCTACACACAGTAGGTGCTCAGTAGACACCATCGTTATTTTCCTTCACGCAGCAGGTGCTCAGTAGAATCACCTCTATTTCCCCCGCACAGGAGGCACTCAGCAAGTGCTCATGAAGGACCTCCAGTTCTCTTTGCATTAAAGGATGCAGAGCTGATCTGGAAATCCACAGAGCTGGGTCTTCGGCCCTGGGGCCTGTTTGAAGGCTTTTCATCAAATTCTTCCCCATCTGTCATAAACGCGGTCCTGGACTCCAATCATTATTTATGCTAATAGGAATTTCTGTTCCCAAGCTCCTATTTCTCACTGGTTTAAGCCCCATTTGATCATAACCACGGGAGCTACAGCTCCTCCTTGTTACTGTTCACTCTGGCATTGATATTCTGGTTCCGTGAGCCCTGCTTCCGCACGCTGCCTGCCGGGTATTAACTTCCCATCGCCTCCTCACGTCTCATTTCTCCCGCTCACCTTCACAAGGGGAGACGCTCTGAGCAGGTAGTTGACTCATTTGGGGTTAGTTTTCATTCGTATCTGACAGAAAACTAAAATTGCTCAAACTTAAACCTTTCTGTTTTCCCTTGGGCTTCTTTGTCAGTCACTTTCATTCCTTTTTCCTCCTTTTCTTTAAAAGGTAAAACTCACATAAAATAAATGACTTTGAAGTAATTTCAGTGGCATTCTGCGTGTTCACAATGTGTTTCAGCAACCTTCCCAGCTCTCAGTGTTCGAGTCCTTCTTCACTACGACTACGTATACTATACATCATATTCCTTCACACACCGCATGGCATCGCTCCACCCTTCCTCTTCGGTTTGCTCTTGGTGGGTATGGTTACTGCTGGGCTTGGTGTGGATCTTGCTACTTGCAGCTCTGCAGAATTTCTTAGCTCCAGTGAGCTTGAAGTATACAGCATCATGCTGGCTGAGACCCGGGATGCATCTGCTTCTTTCTTTCCTTGACCACCCCCCCTTTTTTTTTTTCTTTAACCAGAACTTTGGCAGGCATTGGAAGTGGTGGATGTGCGTTGGTTCCCACTCAGAGGGAAGCGAGCATTCACTCAGGGTAGTGTTCAACATGGGTGTTCACGATACTGCCCGGTCAAGGTCAGTTCCTTCTCCCCCAACGTCCTGCGTGTTTTTATCATGTTAGGTTGTGGCTTCCTGCCTTGCCCTGTACATACAGCGCTTCTGGACAGAGTAGGCGTCGAAGCTCCCGGTGTACTTGGTACAGGTCACCCCAGCTCACCACACAGTCTTCACTACGCTTTAAACTTGAGCTCCTGGGTTTTGTCAAGGGTTTTTGCATCTGTGCTCATGAGGGATACCGGCAGTTTTCTTCTCCTCTGGTGGGTTGTGTCTAGATTTGGTATCTCAGTAATGATTCACTCAAAATACACTTGGAAGTGTCTCCGCTTCTCCAGCAGCATTGGGGGAGATGTGGTGTGAATTCTTCCCTAGCTGTCGAGAGAGCGTCCTGCACGTGAGAGGAACATGTGCTCTGTGGGCGCCAGGCAGTGACCTCTCGCTGACCACCAGGTCTCTGGGGCTTACAGGGCCATCCCTTCTCTGTCACAATCTCTCTGGACTTCCCTTCTGGTGAGGCCCGGCCCCAGTGCCGTCAACAGAGATCAGCTGCCGCCGTGAACGTCAGGGGTGGAGGGGAGGTCCAGGGCCCGGCCAGCCCCGGCCTCGCTGTGGACTCAGATGTGGACATGGGCCAGCGTCGTCACAGAATTCAGCGTGGGCTGCACAGAGGAAGCGGAGCCTCCACAGGCCACGGCCGATGCTCCAGGACTCCTGCCTGAGCTAGCGTGCTGGCCACGGCAGGGAGGAGCTCTCCACCCACTCCATAAATAGTGGTGTGTGGCTCAGACCAGCCAGCCAGGGGGAGGGACCCCACCGAGCCCGGGCAGTGTGCAGAGCTCAGACAGGAAGAGCAGTTTTCCCAACGAAACCCATCTCTACACGTGTCATTTTCACAGTCAGGCACAAACGTGACGATCTTCACGGAAGCTGGAGACTCCGCAGTGCCAGGAGGTCCTGGCCGGCCCTCTGCCATGTGAGCTGGGCGGAGGGCAGCGCCGCCCCCGGGGGTGGGCCTGAGCGCGCAGGCTGAGGTCTCTGCTGGGGTCCTGGGCCGCCCACCTGCTCCCCCTGCCCAGACACTCGACCTGTGCCACTCTCCACCTCTGCCTCCGTTCCGCCCGAGATCAGACAACGCCAACGCCTCTCCTCGCGGTCCTGCGGCTCAGGAGTGGGCCCGGTGTCCTGGCTGAAGCCGCCCGGCCGGTGTCAGCACACTGTACTCCCGTCTGCCGGGGCTCAGGACAGGCCCCGCTTTCCCACTGGCCGTCAGCTGGGGCCTTTCGACCTTCCAGGGACCACGTGCACACCCCGTCTGCACCGCTCCTCTGTTCTCAAGGCCCGTGAGAGAGCTGTTCCTCTCAAAGGCCCGCGCTCTCCTTCTGCCGGCTCATCTCTCTGGAGCTGGGACTGGCTCTCATACTGGAAGGATTTGTGTGATGACACTGGGCGGCTGAGCCCGCGCTCTCCCTCTGTTAGTCCACGGCACTGAGCACAAAGCCCCCACCTCAGGAGAGGTGACATGGTCACAGGTTCCAGGAATAGGAGTCTGTGGTAGACAGCTGTAGAAACTGTTATTCTACTGACCACACTCCATTTCCCCATGAGACGCTGTCCTGTGGCCTGTTCATCTGCCACCCTGTCCCCATCATCTGACTTGAAAGAGGCTTGTCAAGACCCAGAGCAGACTCTGTCTCCAAGTCCATTCCTTGGATGTGAGTCAATCCGCAATGGGCATGGCGTATCGGGACAACAGAGCAGGCTGAGCTCTGCTTGGAGGTATGCTCTGCCTGACACTGGACTGGGTTGAGGTTACGGAGCCAAGTGTCCAAGAAAATAGACCCCTGAATCCCCAGGCCCAGCCTCTCCAGTTTGAAGCACTGGCCACTAATTGTTTCTAAGTGTTTGGGGTAGAAATGAGGTTTTCTCCACCTGAGTGAAAGCTGAGGATCCTCACGTATAGTCTGTGTCCTGGAAATCTTTTTTACCAGCCTCTAGATCCAGTCGAATCCCACCCCCTTGCTCCAGGCCCCGGGTGCTCCAGCCGCCCGCAGTATTCCTGCGTTTGCACATTGCCTTTGCCTGCCCATCCTAGTCTCCACGCCGGGCTTCCTCCACCCTTGGCCGACCTGGCGAGCACCCACTCCTGTGAGCCCTTCCAGGCCTCTCCTGAGGACCCCAAAGCAAAAACAAAACACCCGTGAAATATTCCGTCAGTGCTGAAAACAACACTCACCCACACAGAACTGGTGAGACCCCTGGGTCAGCAGGCTGCGCCTGACAGGTGGGCTCCACCTCCGAGTTCTGGGGCAGGGGTCAGGGGTCAGGGGCCACAGCAGCCCCAAGGGCTTGTCACGTGACAGAAACACCTGCAGCCATGAGAATTACAAACACCTGTGGCCCCGCCAAGGGGCCAGCCCTGCTCATGGGCATGGCTGCGGTGGACAAGGCGGCCTCAGACAGCAGCCTCCTCTCCTATGTGGGAGACTAACTTCAAGATGGGGTGAAGTGGGATCCCTGACTGGAGGGCTGAGGCCTGGGAGCGAGGAGGGGGCGCAGCACGGCCGGGCCGGGCCGGGCCTGGGCTGCGCGCTGGGCGGGCTCCTCCTCTGCCTTTGGCGGCTGACTGGACCGAGGCCTGTCCCGGGCCCCAGGGCGGCCCCGGGCCATGACGTCTAGGCTCGGGCTCCACTCAGGACTCAGGCTGGGGCCACACGAGCACTCCTCACCGCGGCAGCTGTGGCAAACTCACGTGCCTCTTGGAGACTTTCCACAGAATGCCTATTGCTGTCTGCAGACGTCCTACAGCTCTGTGTCATCAGACGAAGCGGAAAATCTCAGGCCTGAGGTCTCTGGGCAACACAGCGGCACGCGGTCTGCGGTTCTCTGATACTCAGGAGTCTGTGGCTGATTTGTCCGCTTCTAGGATCATACACTAAGTATTTAGGAAACAAGTCCGAAATCCGCTCTGAGTGTGGAGACCTTCCCAGTCACAGCATGTCCACCCAGGCTTCGTGGGCTCGGGCGGCCCATCCTCAGCACAAGCACTTGGGATGGAGTCCACCTCCGGGAATGATCACTGCGTCGGGAAGGTGTGGACACCACGTGTAGGAGTGCAGAGGGAGCGCTGTGGGAGGCTGACGAGGGCCGGACGCTGGCTGGACAGTGAGGGTGGCCTGAAGGCAGGCCTTCAGTGTGTCCCGTCGAGATGTGGGTGGTCAGTACTTCCCACTGGCAGTGTCCTGGCTTCAGTTACTGGCCCAGAGAAGGTTACAAGCCCTCAGCCTGTCCAATCGGAATGAGGGTCAGACCTGCCCCCATGTTGATGAGAGTGCGAAGTCTGAGAAGCAAGGACAGCTAGTTTGACGTGTCATAGCAGGGAGCCTGGAGTTGGAGCCCAACAATGGAGACAGACCCCTCTGCAGGGTGGGGCCGGGAGGTGGAGCCGGGCCGGCCGCTGAGCCGGATCTGAGGAGGTCCATGGCACTCTGACCCTGTCTGAAGCGGGCCCGCCCCGCAGTCTTCAGGCCCGGGAGCCGAGCTCTCCCTGTCTGTTCTGTGGAGCAGACTCGAGGCAGCTTTGGCCCGTCCACGGGAGTCCGAGCGGACCCTGTCTGCACCGTGCTGCCCCGGCTCTGCTGGAGTGAGCCTCGGCGGCGCTGTGGGCTGCGGCTTCTTCTGTAGGAGGAGAGCTCAGCTCCACCAGGAAGGGGAGGCCACTGGCCCAGACGGCCCCTCCCCTCCTCTGCACTGTCCAATGAGCAAAGGCCACCACAGAGCAGGGCCAGAGGACAGGGGTCAGCTAGGGTCCTCCTCCTGTCTGCTCTATCTGCTCAGGGCTTGCCTGTGGTACAGGCAAACATGGAGGCTTTGGCTTTCTAGGATGCAGCCCTGGCCAGACTCCTCACTTCCACCGGTTCCTTCATGTGTCTGTGAAATGAGCAGAGACGGGCAGGGGCCTTCCCAGAGAACCCTTCTTTCCAGAGTCTAGGGCTGCAGCCTGGGCCCCAGGAACCAGGCACAGCTGGTGACCTGTGGCTGGGCACAGCCCAGGTCTCAGCCACCTGGGAGGTGAGGACCCCCCCCCCACACACCCGCTGCCCAGCTCCGCCCTGACAGGACTGCCCCCTACTCTGCACGTGGGCTCCCAACACTCCACTGCTGGTGCCCACGGGGGAGGGGGCGTCCCACTGCTGCCCATGGGGGAGGGGACGTCCCACTGCTGCCCACAGGGGAGGGGACGTCCCACTGCTGCCCACGGGGGAGGGGGCGTCCCACTGCCACTGGGGGGGAGGGGGCGTCCCACTGCTGCCCACTTGGGGGAGGGGGCGTCCCACTGCTGGTGCCCACGGGGGAGGGGACGTCCCACTGCTGCCCATGGGGGAGGGGACGTCCCACTGCTGCCCACGGGGGGAGGGGGCGTCCCACTGCTGCCCACGGGGGAGGGGGTGTCCCACTGCTGCCCACGGGGGAGGGGGCGTCCCACTGCTGCCCACGGGGGGAGGGGGCGTCCCACTGCTGCCCACTGGGGGGGAGGGGGTGTCCCACTGCTGCTGCCCACGGGGGGAGGGGGCGTCCCACTGCTGCCCACGGGGGAGGGGCGTCCCACTGCTGCCCACGGGGGAGGGGGCGTCCCACTGCTGCCCATGGGGGAGGGGACGTCCCACTGCTACCCACGGGGGAGGGGGCATCCCACTGCTGCTGCCCACGGGGGGAGGGGGCATCCCACTGCTGCTGCCCACGGGGGGAGGGGGCGTCCCACTGCTGCCCACTGGGGGGGAGGGGGCATCCCACTGCTGCTGCCCACGGGGGGAGGGGGCGTCCCACTGCTGCCCATGGGGGAGGGGGCGTCCCACTGCTGCCCACGGGGGGAGGGGGCGTCCCACTGCTGCCCATGGGGGAGGGGTGTCCCACTGCTGCCCACGGGGGAGGGGGCGTCCCACTGCTGCCCATGGGGGAGGGGGCGTCCCACTGCTGCCCATGGGGGAGGGGGCGTCCCACTGCTGCCCACGGGGGAGGGGCGTCCCACTGATGCGCATGGGGGAGGGGCGTCCCACTGCTGCCCACTGGGGGGTAGGGGGCGTCCCACTGCTGCTCATGGGGGGGCAGGGCTGGAGAGCTGGACACCTGGTTCATGCAAAGAGGTCTATCTACAACAGCGCTTCATGCGCTCAGTGGTGGCTACACCCCTCACGGACCACAGGGCAAAGCTCCCTGCTCCTAGAGCTATGGCCTGGATTAAGGACGCACACCAGCCGGGCAGCTGTGTGGTGCCGGGGGCTCCTCACAGTGCACTCGCAGGAGAATGGCTGCTGTCAAGAGAAACAACGCTATGCTCCACTGCACAGCCCGACATTCAGGGCTCGCCCCGTGCTGCCCCAGTGCCTTCCCTCTCCCCCAGGGCAACACCACTCTACTTCCGCTTCTGTGAGTTCATTTAGATTTGACATGAGCATCTGCTTCCACCTCCCTTGTCTAACTCACTCAGCCCAGTACTGTCAAGATGCAGCCAGGTTGCCACAAATGACAAGATGTCTTTCCTTTTCAGGGCTGGGTAATATTTCATCGCGCAGGTGTATACTCACCCACACGCTCTTAGCCCTTTGGGTGCCGACAGACCTTCAGGTCCTTCCATGTTTCAGCTGCAGTAAGCAGGCCATGGAGATGCCTTTCTCCTTTGGACATATACTAGGTATTGGGGCCACGGGCTACCCAGTATTTCCAGCCCTTACCTCTACACTCCTTCCTGGGGGGGTGGGGAGGGAGACCACTGTCCTCACAACTGCCCTGTGGATGTCCAGCCTTCCCCACGCTCGGGCACCAGCCTCACACAGAGCCATGCCCCCGTGGCCTGGGCCCCAGGATGAGCGCTGGGAAAGGGCCAGGCCTGAGGGGGTGCTTGGTGCCACCCCTCTGGAGAAGCCTGGCTGGCAGGCACCCACAGTCAGGAGAGCTGCACACCCGCCCGCAGCAGAGCGAGAGGAGCTGTGTGCCACACACAGACGCGCTCAGCTTGTTAACCTAATAGTAGCAGAGGAGGCTCCAGAGCGGCCAGTTATGGTAGCAGCCACAGGCCCGTTCCCTGGACAGACTCCATGAGGCCCACCCTCCTTCCCAATCACACCTCCTCTAGTGCACTGTCCCAGGGAAGAGGAATCCTACGCTGCGGGGAGGGGGTGGCAGGTGGCACCCTCGGACTCCCCATGGCCAGGGGCTGGGGCAGAGTCTGGGGCGGGGCCGAGGCATTTGGCACACTGGTTGGGACCCTCGCAGACACAGAGCCCTCCATTGGCCTCTGCCGTGAGCAGGGCGATCTCTCACCTTCTCCAGGTCACAGGCTGTGGGGCACGGAGGATGCTCAGCCTTGCTGGATGGGGCCTGGGCTAGGGGCCTCAGCCTGGGGAGGGCCGCAGAGACCCACCCCAGGCAGGAAGGCTGCGATTTCATCCCACAACTCAGAGCAGCACCAAACTTCAAACGTACCCATATTTACTTCTAGAATTTTCCATATCCTTTTGGACTATGGTTGACTATAGGTCACAGCGCATAAGGTACAGGTACCATAACAAGGCAACACTTAAACACAAGCAACAGAGACATGAGAATCTTTTCTCTAGATAGGCCAGAGAACAAGGATGCTGCAGCCTAACCTGCCGGAGTTGTAATGTGGTGCTAATAAAGGTACAGCAATTGGATCAAAATCACTCTGACACAAATTCCTGTTAAAAATAGCAACCGAGACATTAAACAGCAAAAAAGAGAAAACTTAAGGCCAGAAAGTGTGGCCAGGATGACAAAGGCCACCTTGCCCCAGAGACAGGACGGGAGGGACGCTTGGCAGCAGCGCCCAGGTGTGGGCAGACCCGGGAACTGGAGGCGGGGTGACTGACAGGTCCTCAGGAGGGAGCCTCTGGCCACAGCCCGGCTGCGTCTTCCCACGGCTGTGACAAACCTCCGGAGCAAGGTCTTATCTGGCTCCGTCTGCCTGGTTGCTGTGCCACGGCTTTCAGGCCACAGTGAGGAAGAACACCAGGATGGGAAGCAGGCGGTGGAGTCAGAGACGGCCGCACCCCTTCCTCCACGGGCCCTGCCTCCTAACAGCCAGTGTAACCTGGGGTGCATTCGGAGCCCCATGGCCAGACACTCCCAGCGGAGGAGCCGTGGCCTCCCTGTAGGAAGACACTCATATCTCACCATTATGCTGGCTTACCACCAAGCACAGTGAGCTAAAATGAGCCGGATACAATGAGCAGAAAGCAGGGATTCGACCAATGGCTCAAACGTTGCCCACCTCCTCCCTGCCA